AAAACTTTAATACAAGTTTAACATGACAGCAAATGTACAACGTTTCGACAAGGTTTTGTCATCAACAGTGTAATGAGTAATTGAATGTATGCGGACAGAATATTGTTGGCCACGTGAGTTATCGCATTTGTTATAGAGCGACTGTTGAAATTAAGTGTATCGTAAAGTTGTATTCGAAAAGAATAAACCAGTTTTATTTAAGAAAGGACTTGTGTCGCTAAAGTTTAGTCGTAAAGAATTTACGGAAAAATTAACTAACAAACGGAGACGTAACAATACCTTACAAGACAAAACTTGACTATTTTCAGTATACAATACTGACATTGTGTGTTTAAATGGTATTTTCCATAGAATATTTGAATATATCTCACTAGTGGGTGACTATTTTTTATTTGTAATTCAATAGCATACTTTAATTTGTTCAACAAAATGCAAATGTATATAATAAAATGCATTAAAGTAAACAGTTATGAACTACATCTCTTTGGTCACCGAGAAAGTATTTCATACAAAACTTCTATAACAATTCAAGTCGCAACAAACCCAAAATAATTCATTATATGTGTGAAACAGCATCATATTAAGACTGATAATAATTTTGATTGCTTCTTTTTGTTTTTTTATTCAAGTTTCCAGCAACAAATTATGTATTAAAATTACTATCAGTCTTGTTGCAGTGCAATATCACACAACTTATTGATCAGTAGATTATGCTTCATCAGCATAAGTATTACACATCATAACTTCAAACTAACCTTTGCTACAGTATATCTGTAGAGAGAATGTTATGGATATTACTTTTATTATTACATTGTACTGTGTGCACAATACATTTCTACAAGTTATGTACAAAGATTCCGTCAAGATATAAAAGACTGTCTAGTTTAAATATTACTGATTAAATTATTTTTGTGAACAAATATATTATTATTGTTTAGTTTTTGTTATTTATAAGAGTTAAAAGCAAATGACTGTATAAAGTTATGTTTATAATTCATTGATGTTATGTTGAGACTATCAAATACATTGTGCAATAAACTGACATCAAGAATAGAGATTTCTAGAAGAAGGACAGGCGATTAAGTGATTAATCTGTAAATAGTGTGAGATGAGTGGAAACAGCAGACAGACAATAGCAGAAGAGAGTAAAGTTATGGGCAAGGAAAAGTTTGGCATGAAGTTAACTATCATAGAAGTGATAGGCCTAATGACCGACATAGGCATAATGTTTTATATGTTAGAGTAAGCCTAACAGTAGAAAAGGAGATAAAAAAAATAATTAATTCTATCAAAACATGGTTCTAAAGTAACTGAATCAGCCCGAGTGCACTCTGAGAAAAAGAACAGAATATTCAGAAGAAAGAAGACCAAACAGATCCACTAGAGGATGTAAAAAGTGTTTAACAAACATTTTTAAATTTAAATAATTTTAAAACATTATGGTTGCCACTGGTCTTTTAGATTATTTTGAAACTTTTTTTAAACTAAGGTAAATATCACTAAAAAAACACTGCATTTAAATTTTAAGTACTTGATCTGCTAAGTTTATATCTTCTTATTAAAAGTACAAATTATCAAATATTGTACATATCAAACCTTGGATTACAGTTATATTAAAAGGATTGTTTAATAGAGAAACAGTTTGTATAATATGTTATGAAATTTGAGCATTCTAATAAAATACATTGTGAGAAACAAACTAAGTTATAAGCAATTAAGCTATTCTGATACTTATAAAACTTATGGCAAAAAAGTTAATACTAGGAAATATAATAGTGATAAATTAGCAAAAACCGATTCATACTTTACTAAAACTGGATTTAATTAATCTAATAAAATTGCTCGAACTGAAAGATTTTGCACCATTTACAACCAGTTTTCAAAAATTACTACATTTAAAACTAACTAAGTAATGATGAGTTATGTTTTTTAAAAATATTACAATGATGGGAGACAGTAGAAGTTATTATTTTCCTATGCTGAAAATAAGATTCCAATAGGTACTTACCTACCTCACATGTACAGCTGTTCTCATTCAGTGCTGCCCTCTATTAGCAAGAATTTATTTTGTGTGCCACCAGTCTTGAACTTTCATGTACCCCATGAACAATTTTTCACCTGCATCTCACATGTAAATCATCATGCAACAACCCTCGACCAATAGGAGTACGACACACCCTCCTGAAATAAAACTATTACTTCGAAATTAGGCAGACAAGAAAGCACCAGGTTTCAGTTAACACTTTCTTATATCGAAAATATATTTCCAATAATAACTCATCTCACACTATATCTATTAGTCGACTACTAGTGTTTCCTTCCATTGCCAATTTAAACTTTGGTCTGAATTTTTATTTCTTGCTCCAGTCTTTCATTCCCCACTTAACTGCCATTAGCATTATCTGTCTCGTGACATTCTCCAACTATGTGCCCTCTGTCCTGGTACTCTCTCTCTCTCTCTCAGCACCTCATTCAGATAATAGTACCACTTTTTCGAGACCCAATCCACAGTCTCTTAGTGGGGAGGAAGGGTGGGAAAGTATGAATGGAGGTAAGTATTATTGGAAATATCTTTTGATTAAAGAAAATGTTAATGTTCAAAACATACATCTACTCACACTACAGCTACAATCCCACATTGATAAAGTAGACAAACCTTCTCCTCAACCTGAAGAAGTCTGAAAGGCAATACTTAAAACTCAAAATGACAGGATCCTGCATGCCATACTTAACCTGAGGAAATAGAACTCATCCGGTCTGGAATTATGAACACTCGTTCTCTCTCTCTCTCTCCCCAACTGTTTGGGCAAGGAAAATTCCACTTTTCCCTAAAATTATGGGGAAGATGTGGAACAAACTGTGCTCAACCAAGGACCCAGGATGGGACCACTCTACATTTGATACGTAGAACAGGCAATGGACCCTCTTCCATGAACAATGTACTGAACCATTATTGATCAAAAAGAAGGGGCACACTCAACCCAACTGGATAGCCGAGCATCAAATCTGAACTGCTTTAACGAGTAGGTTCTCTCATAGGCCTCTCTTACCAGCATCTGGGAAAAAAAACATATAGGGTCCAGGGTAGGAGGGCCTCCACCTTCAACCTCTTCTACAGAAGTGAAGGAAATTCACTCAAACACTATTGAGGAATAATCTCGTCCACCCCCCATATTCTCCAAGTCTGAATATGTATCCATCTGGTAGTGGTAAGCTAAATGACAGTTCTGACAAATGTGGCAGACAAGGCATAGCTGTTCCTTCATGTAACAGAGCAGTAAACCTCCTCGCATGGACTACAATATCAGTGGATGGAGGGGGAACTAAGTATTCGCCCTCAGACCTTTCAGCCATCAAGAAAGATGCAGGCTCTAAAACTACCACGGAAAGACCCAAAACATCACACACTTGATGGACCAACTGAAGAAAATGAGTTGGAAGAGGCTGATCCCAATGTGGTCTCCTGAGAAGTCAACAGAATAAAGGAAGATGCAGGAAAAAATGAATCTAAATTCTCATCAGGATGTCCAGGATCACACTCAACTGTAACCACAGAGCCCCCCCCAGATAAACATGACTGGATGGAATATATATTTAAAGATTCCCTATGAATAATTTCACACACAGTCTCAACTGAAAGTGACCCCCCCTCCAGTAATAATATCAGAAGTTGCAAAACACAAACTTTGGAATTCATCTTAATCGATGAAGAAGTTGAAAATGAAAGAAAAAAATCAATAAACAAAGGTTAGTTATTATGGCAAATTAGTACAGACAAAACAAACTACTGCCAATAAATAAAGTAAATTACTACTTCACAAGGAAAAGAAAAAATTCAATGAACATGCAAAAAGAACACAAGTGAAAAATATCTGCACTCGATCACTGCCTAACGAGAAGTGATAGTTTGGCAAAATCGAATAGAGAGTTACATGCGTCAGGAGTGTGCATCTCACTCCTATTGATGAGTTACATGCGAGACATGGTTGAACAACACTGATCATGGGGTACATGGGAGTACAAAGCTTGTGGCATGTGAAAAAACTTTGCAGCTATAGGTATGAAAAGTGGTAATGTACCCTGTATATGATACAAAAAATCATTCATGAATTACATAAGCCTAAGGCTGACACAATTTATCAAATCCAATAAAGAATTTTTGTCTAAAGCTACTAATCCCTAATTTTGAATTGATAGACTAGAAGGAAGGTAGTGAGTCAACAATATCCATTCAGATCTTGGGCTACTCTTGTTTGATCACATAGTGAGGTTTGCATGTATTTCTCATTGTGCAACTACGGTTTCAAAATGTAGTGCACTTTTGCAGCAACAGGACATGAACTATAATTCCGGAGATCCACAGTCTGAGCACAATAACTATAGTTTCAAATATAACGAGGGAACTAGAAAACTAACATAAGAGTCAGTAGGGAAAAAAAGAAGAAACCAAACTTGCCCTATGCTAGTAGGGTAGGGGAAAAGTTTGAGATATTAGACATTAAAAATAATTTTTCAATCATACTAAGAAACATTTTCCTGGCATCTAGCAAGACGATGTGTTTTAATATGACCTGTATCACTTTTAACATGAAAGCCTATGATATACCAAGATATTAAATTAAGCACTTCCTCAAAATTAAAAATGCACAAGTTTATGTCACTAATTATTATCATAAACTATACAGTTTAATACTTCAAATAATATCCAAGACAATGTTAAATACAATTGAAAACTTATGATTTAGGTAGTCTTGTATGTACATATGACAATTTAACCCCTTTCTCTTCATCTGACAAGTGTTGCTGAATGGCCATCTTTCTAAATTTCTGGCTTGCTTAATTATGCACATAAATAGATAATAAAGAAGAGAAATTTGGAGTCTGAGAGGTCAGTAATTTTCATAAGGGTGTACATCTCACTTGAAATAGAAATTACTATGAAAATATGGTTAGTTTTAAAAAATAAGACAGACATTATGTATAATTATTCATTATGCATTCAATTTAGTTGTAGATGTCTTAAAATAACAGATTACTTGGTACCACCTGCAATGGCTGTGGAATTTCCCAATATGTTACATTTTTGACAAAGTGTGTGTGTATATATAAATCAATCAACAGTTCTAGTACTATGCATTACATTAATCATATAGGCAATCAAATCAGCGCTATATAAAAACAATGAAATTAATAAAAAATCAAAGCCAAAATGTTCACAATGAGACTTAAAAACAAAAGCAGTATGTAACATATGGGAAAATAAATTACACTGAGAGGATTGTGTGTGAAGTATGAAAGGGATCAGTATGTTGTCCTTTTTTCTGTTTAAATAACAGTTTAAAAACAAGAGAGGAAACATATAAATTGTCTGAAACTATATTTCTAAGCAAAAAATGAAATGAAACTAAATTGGAAAGAACAGATCTTTAATACAAATGGTAAGATTGGATGTAGAACTGGTATTATAAATTGTTAAGCATGTATTATTAAAACTATTATTATATAATACTCTCGTGTTACCACATTCTTTATTGAAATTGGGTGGGGCATATCATAATTATATTAATACTTCAAAAAGAAACTGATGGCTATAAATTTCATATGTTAATTGTAAAACATTTGTTACAGATGTATCATACAGAGAAAGACAAGCAATGCTCAACTATAAAAATCAATACAATTTTATAATGCTTCAAAAGAATGACAAAATACACAACTATTGTACACATCTACAGTACATCTTAAAAAGAATTTAACTAATTTTAACATACACATGAAACTGCTGGAGTAATTTACCTGTACCAATTAGATATTGTATAAAAATATACTTTAAAGATACTACAAAAGATTATATTTATCCAAAGCACATCAACTATAGCAGGTATAGAGGAATCCAAATAAAGGAACCCAAAGGTTATCAAATAATACATGTACATGAATAATACTTGAATGTAACAAACTGATGTTTGATTTGGATTAGTTTATCCACAAAGTATTTCCTATTTATTATACCTTTTTTTCCACAGTAAACAAACTGGCCTGTATACATTCCTTCAGCTGCAAGGAACAGTTCCTTCCTTTGCTTATAGCGGTAGGGATCACGAAAAATAACCCTGGCAAGAGGAGCCCCACGACCGGGGTCATGAATGATTTCCTATAGCAGGTTAAAATAAAACTATCTATTACAATTGTAAAAATTCACTATATAGTTAATTGATAAAAAATATTTTTATATTTATACAAAATATTACAACCTGTATTACATATTACTTAAATGGTTTTAAGGGCAAGTAAAAGTCAAGTAACCAGTAGAATTCAAAATAAGACACGATTCTTCTTGTTCACAAAAGATAAAACTTTAGATCCTGCATAAAATAAGAATGTTTTAAAGACAAAGTAGAAGAAAGGTCAAGCAGAAAATAATCTTTCTTTTTCTATAGTTAAAAAAATATTTTGTTCATCTGACTAATCTCGGAAGAAGTATCTCCAAAAATAAGATTTGACATTACTTAACTACAGAAAGTAAGGATTTGCTTAAAGAAAAATACTTTTTCTTCACACTTTTTAATTTAAAGCTCAAATAAAAATGGGTAGGAACAAAAACTTTTGCCAGACCTAGCAATTTACAAACATTCACAAAATTTTCTTTCATACATTGTTATAACGTACAATCATCACTGGTAGTTGGGTTGTGGAATAAATCACTGTGAAGGTGTGAAGGTCTACTGAGATGACTTGCGTATTAAATGAAACACAAAAATACCTGTTAAATCAAATTCATTTTTTTAATGTTTTATGCATTGGTTTTGATCTGGATAAAACTGCTTGTACAGATTTGTCCCCAGTACAAAACTCTCCTATCCATGTAAATATTTTAGCCTACTCTACGAAAGCTTTAACTTATTTAATAAAACTTAATCCACTGGTGCTTTATAGTCAATTTAAACATCAAAAATATTACACATTAACATGCACTCCACACACACACAAACAAAATAATCTTAAACATAATTCTCTACACTCATATCTAGAAAATTTCCTGAAGAGATTTTTTTTATAGCCAGAGACTCATTCACATTGAGCTTTACCTCTGTGCTCTTCCTGGGAATTATGTGGTTGTTTCAGTTTTATTTGATAAGATAATTAAATTATATTCAATGTTATATTTTGTGCATTTGGGTGAATCATTTGTAGACTTCCTAACATCAGATAACCCTCTAAAACCTTTTTGTGTTTTTGCAAAATTCAACCTTATATGTTTATGGAGATTTGGCTGATCAGTTTAAGTTCAATTTTTAGTTCAGAATAAAAAACTAATGCATTAGAAATTGTTTGACACTAAGTACAAGTTAAGGTTCCTGAAGGGTGAAAAAAACACAAAAATTAATTCTGAAAACTATCTTCTACAATTAAACCTTTTGTATTCAAGTAATACACAGCTAATTAAGCAAATGGTATACATATGAAAGTTGGTTGTGGTTCTGACAATGCTGTGAATACTGTTTGGTCACAAAATTACTGGGTTGTTGGAATTATTTGGTCTCTTTCAATAACACAAGTATAATAAAAAATTACATAAACATTTATTACAGCAGTTTTCAGCCATGAGTAATAAACTTGTGCTACACAAATTTCAACATACCAAAAAACAAATTCCTTACTTACATGAAAATTTGATACATTACCTAATAATTCATGTTTTAAAATTTTATACCTTAATAATTCCCTTGATGTAGCCATGTCTTTCTGCAAAATCAACAGCACGAAGTTTTGGAGCTCCTTTACGATGTTTGTTGTGACTGCGGAACACACTTCCAGCACCCTTTCTCTGACTTCTTATGACACGTCCCATCGTTGAATCTTTTCAAAACATCTTCAAATTTAATTAACTAATACTTATAGTATGGTGAGCTTCACTATGTGTAAGAAATGCTACTGGATAAGTTTTTACTATGATATTTCCAATACAGTAACTTTTTTTTTGTTTGGACTTAAAATATTTAGAAAAACAAATCTCGTCTAATTGCACATAAAATGAAAAAATTAATTTAAATGACCCAATTTAATCATTTAAAATTAAAAAGAATTATAATGGAGAGTGTAATTACTGCTATACTTTTTAATATGATATTATTCTGTTTGCAATTTATCAAACTATTAAGGTAAGGCTAGCTGAAATTGGTCTAAATTTGCTGACAGAAGTTTGATAGTGTTGAAATAACATATCACTAAAATATAAACATATCAGTATATTACTTATATTTTTGCAAGTATATTTTAGTAATCTGTTATTCCCTAATATTATTGGGCAATAAAACCCCATTACATAAGTTTCTAACAAAATCACATTTTCAATGATTATGGAAAAAAAATATGCAGTGAGGAAACATACTTAACATATAACAAAAATAATAAAACAGAACCATGGGGGTACTAGGATTCTTCAGCTACATGAGTGATACAGTGATCATCAATGAACTGATCGATCAATTACAAAAATACCTTTGTATTTATATAGGCTATTTGTTACAACAACTGTTAAATGTTATGGTGTGAATGCCTTTTCTACGCTGATAAAAATAAAATATAATAAGCCTAATACTACTATCTTATGACAATTATAATATACATTACATTTGAACTACAATCATTTTCCAATTTAGAAAAACTCAAAAAGGATGAGTCACACCATAAGAATTGTCATAACAATGTTTTTAATTTATTGTTCACATATGTACCATAAGCTTTTTATTTTTAATAACAAAAACGGCCTGGTGCGATTTTTGCATTGCAAGTTATCCCTTGACACGTGGTCTAATTTCTAAGTTAAAATTCATTATATTTTGCAGAAAATTTATGTTGCTGGTGAGAGCATAAAGTGATAAACTGATAAAGTAGAAAGCTGGAACGTTGAGCAAATAAAATAAATTTTGAAATATTCTCTAGAGTTTATAGTTCATTTCATTTATTCATCACTATGTGCACTATGCCCAGTAAGTATTACGTAATTTTGAAAATATAAAATGAAAGTATTTAATAATGCTAGTAATATCACTTAAGAATTTAAGTACTAGTTCAGTAATAAAAGTAAAACTATGTTATGACTACAAATGTAACTCGTAAAAAATCTGATAATATTAATACAATACTCCACAAAGAAAATGCAATTTTTAATTTCATTTATACAAAGTATTTAAAACTAATTATGATTCAATATGGCAATCTAGTAATATTCAAGCGATATTAAAGATTAAAATGGATTGACTTAACATACAAAATCACTTTACTAACCATACCTTTAACGACAGGCCTCAAAAGAAGGAATAATTTGTGTATTTATATTTCTTGCGTACATTTACGGTACAATATTTATTTTCGTACTCTCATTGCATTAAAGTGCATGATATAGCAAAATCTATCATAAAAAATATAAATAATTGCAATAATATTTTAAAAATTGAGTACGTTTTACACATACACACACTCATGTATGTCTAAATATATATATGTGTGTGATTATAGGGAATAATGGACAAGGGTTCGAAACTAACCTACTTGTTATTAACACATATAATGCGACTTTTCATACGTACGAACACAATGCTTGAATCGAGTACGTGAGCCCTCATGAGTAGGTTGTCCAATGAAGACGAAAGGCGGAAGACTTTCGAAACGTCGTCCTCTACACTTGTGTCTCTACAACAGGTAGATGTCGTCCATTCTACAAAGTTTCATCAAGCTATTCCTTTGTTGGTCTGTGGAAAGAAAAGTTAACAGATGTATTATCAAAACATCAATGAACTTTTATACAGACGTAAAATGAGTGTTTTAAATCATGTCTCAATACAATGTAATTTTAGAACCGAAAATATATGTATACCAGTGACTGGAGACGGCTTGAATGGGTAATGAAGAAAATCTTTAATATAAGTTTAACATGACAGCAAATGTACAATGTTTCGACAAAGGTTTGT